TGCAGCAAGACAAGACACGGGGGAACATGTGACTGACGGGCTGTTGTGACTGTGACTGGCATCTCCGGGCAGGGAACTTTATGACTAAGCTCCTTTATAAAACACACCCATAGACGTAAAAGTATGCTATGTTAGCCCAGAGTAAAAAACCTTAGGCAAGTGTTCCTGAGCAGCAAAACACTGGACATAGCTAAAAAAGTACAGAAAAGCATAATCCACATTTCTGTACTGTTATAGACAAGACAGCAGCAAAACAGAAAATGCAAGAAATATTGGAATTTTGTGACTTCTCAGCTCTTTGGTGTGTTTTTCATTTTTATTGGTTCATTACTTTTTGCTGCTATTTAAATTGTTAGTGTCTACTTTTTCTACTTTTTCATGCTCTGAAATGTATTTAGTGGTTCTGTTGTTGGATCTATTGAAGCGCTTCATCCACGGTGGGTTTTGCGTGCTTCGCTGTCATTTTCCGATGTTACTGTAAGCGAGCCGCTTTCATCAGACCAAATGCTCTTAAATGGTGCACATCATTTCCCTGACTCCTGTTTAGTGGACGAATAAAGGCCGTGTAAACGCTGTTCATAGTTCTTGAGTTCGAGCAGCTCTGTCCTATTATCCTCTTCCAAACAACCCAGTTTCAACTCGTGTTTTTCCACTGATCTGTTACCTCAGCATTCAGGCTAACTGCAAATGGAATCTGGGATTTACAATTGCTCGGACACAATTAGGGAATGTTTAGAAGATCCCATGGGCCAACAAGCCACACACAACCTACATCCACATGCATACACACAAGCACACACTTGACTTGTTTATCCTTCCATGCAGAACAAGACATGGTGCCTTGCAAGCCCTTAATCAAACACAAGTAGACCCCTCCCGCTCATGAGCACTGACCTAGCGATGAACCATTCATTATCTGCTACTCAGTGCAAATGGTTAGTTGAAAAGCAAAGCCATATAAGATGAATACTCAGATACTTGTGGTCAATAAGAAAGATCTCAGGGAAAAATATGTTGCTTCAACTGGAAGGAGGTTCGATAAGAAAATAAAGCTGGTAATGGAGTGCATGTGTCTTTTACATTTTGCTCTTCTCTTTCTTTGTCTACCTTAGCAGGCAAAGCTGGACTTTGCTGAGGGGCGAAAGTATTCTGCTGAGGATTAAGCTGTGGATGTGGCGGTCACATGGCAGCTTTGTTAAACTTTAAGTCACCCTCTAACTACACAACCTCCCAGTCAGCGACCCCTCCTCTTCTTTTGCACTTGGTGGGGTCTTATCTCTTGTGGATGTGGGCTCCCCTGGCTTCACACAAAGCCACGTGTTGACATTCCAGAGGACCGAGCCTTGTGCAAACACCACCAGGCCCCACCAGATGGGTAGGCAAGGGTGAACAAGGGTGGGACGAAGGACGCAAAGGAAGACCAGGAAGTACAGGAGGGAAAATCCGCATTGAGGTAAAAACCCTATTTACAGCCAAAATGTCAGCACAATTCATCAGCCTGTCGCACTGCCAGATGGCCTCATTTTCAACCCAATGATAAATGAAGTGTCCTGCTCAACGTCTCCTGACTAAAAAATGGTCTTTCTTCCTCATTTGAAATCCAGCATTTCCACTACTGAATATAGAGGAATGCTTTAAAGTTTTTTTTTACTCTTTTGAATTTCTCTACAACGTCTGTGAAGTGGAAGATTTTATCCAAACAATCCAAAATAAAGATTAAAACATTTTCGACTCATTTGCGTAATTCGGTCGTCTTTATATACTTGAAAGTGAGTCTGACAGTGTTTTTGGATCATTTCAGTGCAGAATTTCAGTAAACCTTCAGGAGCTGAAAAAGCCTTTAGGCACCCCTTTAAAAGTCTTTTCCATATGGCCTCTAGTTGGTTCTCCGTCTTCCCAAAGTTATTCAAAGCTAATATTTGAGGGTCAGTGGGTTAATCTTCAGGGCATTAGGCAACCCAAAGCCCTCCGAATGAAAAACTCATTTAAGGCTCTGGCTGAGTGTGGTGGGCCATGTTTATCAGCGGAGGGCAGGAAAGGACCAGAACTCGTTTTTTTACGAGATAGCAGATTTATTCAGCCTCAGGAGCAGACTATCATAGAGGTTTGAATAACAGACCCCCTTTATATATAATAGTTGTGCAGGGACATCTCAGACGGCATGTTGTCTAAAAAGCAACATTCTAATCCTCTATTTGGTCTCCATGGAGTTCACCCCTCCCTGTGTGTGTCACCAGCACACAGCACAATAGACAGTCATTCTGATAAAAGGCTGCAAAAGCCAGTGCGGATATCCGGCTCCCTTTCTCTTCCCTCTGCCCCTTTAATGAGGGTGTAATGCTGTGGTTTATCCTGCAACTTTTTCTTTCCAATCCTCCTTCAGTCCTCCATAGCTGCTCTCTTCCCTCTTATTCTATGGAAAGAGAGGAATGTGTCTGACTGACTTTTCCCTCCAAGCCCTTTTTCAGGTTTCCGGAGACATGAGGGAACACGTCTTTTGGAGGAAGACTTGGAACTGCTCTGTGTGTGTATGTTGATTCAGTGCAAGTTGAAGCCTGATAAATGAAGGGTGTTGTGGTTGATGTTCAAGAACATCTTTTGTACACACTACATCCTTTAAATGACTATTTGTTACAATTCATGACACTTTACTGTCCAGAGCATGATCCCCTTTGATTAAATTTTCATAATGAGCCACCTGCAAGACAAACTCAGCTGTCCACAAGCCCGTACAGTATTTAAAGCAAAAAAAAAGAGTTAAAGTTGATAGTGGATGTTTGATATGACACAGTTGTATTTCACATTGTCTTTCACAAGGTTTCTAATAATTTCTTTGTGCTGTTTTCAGGAATGGTACTTCAGGATTCTCGAAGAGCATCACAAAACTCCTCTTTGGATATTGGCTTTTCCTTTCTTTCGATCTCAGGATCGGTCAAGATGATCCCACACTGCTTCAATTATGTGGCTCTGGGGAGCATTCAGCACTCTATAAGACCTGTTGCCACTGATTTTCAGTCCAATTCTTGTGTCATTTGGCAAACCTCAGCCTTTTCCCCCTTTTCCCTTTTGCTGCTTTTAGAATGGCTTCTTGATATCCAACTTTCCATGGACACCATTTCTAGCTTTAGTGAACAGTAGATGAAGTTCCAGATGCATTCTCTTCTCATTATTTAAAGATATCACTTCCAAATAGTGTTCATCTGCTGTTTATCCTTTTTATTTAGACCATTCTTCTTTGGCACTTATTTTGGCCTTCAGTTCTTCAGTTTCCTTAATTGTTTCAACAAATCACAGCACACCATGCAGACATAACAGGTTTTCAACTGAAACTAGTGAGAAGCTTGCCAAAAGAATTCGAATAAAACCTGGTTCTTTGATAAGTTAGTTGTTTTGCATTGATACGATGCTTGAGCTTGGTGCCATTTTTATTCTTGAATGATTCATAGGTCAATGTTAATTGACTTGACAAACACATTCATCAGAAAAAGCTGGACTGCAAACGAGCAAAACAACGGGCATTGTTCAAAGAATAACTATGAAACAGCCCCAGAGAGCCTGGAGGATATTGCTTAAGACCACTTTCCAAAGATTGCAAGAAGGTTTGGCTGCTTGGAAGCCAAACATAAAAGAATCACTTGTTCGCTCAGCACTTTAGATCCGTACTTTGGAACTGTGCTTTCATCTTATTCAGATTTGTGAAGTCTCACAGCTTTCATCAGTTTAAAGTACACCCAGGACTGCCTTTTATTACAAATACAAATACAGAGCAATGTTTACTATATATGGCACTTTCTGTTTGCTGTTTTAGAACTGCTGCTCCAACAAATGCCACGACTCACTGGTGAAATGTTCTGCAGGGTTAGTTGGCAACCACTGTATCAAAGAACAAGCGCAGTCATGGCTGCTGCAGTCAATCACTTGTGCTAATAGATCTACTATGATTAGCTTACATCAAATTAGGTAAATCGGCTACTTGCTCTTTTAAATGAAATCAGTTCCGATAAGAAGAAAAGGCAAATCAATCAGCTAATCAGAGCACCTAATAGAGGACTAACGGAGCCTCTTTGGCTGATCAAAGTCAGACAGATTTGGACAAAGCTGTGCTATCATGACAATTACGAGTTCCCATTTCATTAACTGAATTGCTTTGACTCCTGGCAAATATTCTAATCTGATCAGGTTCCCTCTGTGTCTGTGCTGAGCTGGACAGATTTTCATCTGGGCATGTGAAGGTGAGTCTCTATCTGACATTACACCGTGTCTGTCTGGACAATAGAAAAACATCCTTCAGTCGATTGGTTGATGCAGTGATGTTTGAAATTACTTCAGATTTTGTGGAACATCCTTCTGCAGGGGAACTAGCACACCAGGGGCTGATACTGGGCCTTCTACACCCACATGTATAAGATAGAAAGCAGTAGGAACATAACCCCGACAAATGAGCCGTCAATCCATGCATTCTTCAATCAAAGACAAAAAACTAATTGAGACTACATGTACAACCAGCAGAGGCAGAGATTTATGCAGGGATGTATTTTTTAAACTTTTATTTTTCACATGTGGCATGAACACCTGCAAAACAACAGCTTGATGTTGGTCCAGTAGAAAATGAAACACTTGAATGAATTAATACTTTGCTTTTCAGATTTTAGGTCTGGTTTGGGAATTCCAAGTCTATGTTTACTCTAAATGAGGATGCAGATTGCTAGTAAGTATTTCCAAATTTTTATGCCTTTTAGTTATATGTAAATATCCAGAAATAATCTCACTTCCTAAAGCAATGCTAAGAAAGACTGGATAGAAATGGCATTAACATCTATGTAAGAAAGGGATTAGATGACTATAAAATGTACAGTTTTTTATTTTAACTTAATATTCACATTCATATATAAAACTTAGAAAACTTGCATCTTTCAAACCCTCTAAAAATATTTATTTTTCCCTCTTACTGCTGAAAGATCATTTTAAATTACCAAACATCTAATGGATTATTTTTTTGTATTATGCATCATTAATAGTTTCCACCATATTGTTTTTATTCTTTTCGATTCATTTCAAAATACGTAAATCAATAAATTAACACGTTACCTCAGTTCCTGAAAGCCAATGCTCAACTGTGCTACTGAGAGAGAGTAAGGAGAGTGTCTGTGCGTGTGTGTCCATGTCTGTATGTGTGAATATGTGTAAAAGGAAATATAGGACACATAATCTGTTAGCATACCTGCCTCAAACTGAAAGCAGCATGGGGGATGGGGATTATTTCCAAGTCCATACAAAAAATAATTCATTGTAAATATATATAATATATTTTTATACATATTTGAATATATTTACAAATATACCCAGCACTATACATTATACTGTGTATTCTTTCTCCAGAATAATTGGGGAGGTTTATGAAGAGAACTGTAAAGGAAATGCACCAATATTACAAAATAAACAAGAGAGGTTTTCATATTTGCCCGCCTCCTATTTCTGCTTTTGTTAGTCGATGCTCTGTTGGTCCATTTCCTACGTCTCTTCCTTTACTAGTCCCTTTTTTTTATGAAGTTAACGTCAGTCCATACATTCTTCAAGGAGCAAAATACCAGTTTTGGAATGCCAGTCTCTGCAAATGCATCACCAAACGTTTAATGCTATCGAACCTCTTGGTAGAAAGATGGGAATCGAAATGAAAAAATGTGTCTTTTTATGGCAGAGAGGAAGAGGAGGCGGAGGAAGAAGAGCATCTCCTGGGAATGTCATTTCATTCAGTCAGTACAAAATAGCTTCTGTAGGGTCCCTGTCCTCTCCTCTAAGAGCTCACTTGGGTGTATGGTGTGTGTTCTGTGGGTGCATGGCAGTAAAAGTGTATGACAGTGCGCTGCCATCAGTCCAGTCCGGTCCGGTCCGGGTCCGTTAGTCCACTGGGAGCCACGCAGAGGACCCGGGGGGATTCCAGAAGGGGTGTCCGTGCCACGTGCATTTGGGAATGTTGAAGTAGGGCAGAGACGGTGTGGGCAACTGGCTCATCTTTTGACATTCCCGTTGATATGCTGGTACTTGGGGAGGCAGGGCTCGTCCGGTAAGGGGTCATGAGAAAATACCGAGTCGTCGCCAGAGGAGCAAGAGCTCCGAGTGTCAGGGAAGCTGGGGGAATACTGCTCCGCCGGAGCGCACAGATCCAGATACTCCTGTAGATGCAAAGAAAGGGAAAAGAAGGGTTGGATTAGAACATTTTACACCCTGAGAAAATGGAGAATTGTTGTGATAGGAGAAGAAGTTAAAGATGAAAAGTCAGACAGCAAGCAGAAAAAATATCAATTGGAGCTGAAACCCAGTCAACAAGAACGGGGACTTTCCAGAGGAGAGGGAGAGGGGTGGATTGGAGTATCACCTTTGTTATGATGTTTATCTAAACCATACTAAACCACCCTGGATGGATTTATGAAATGGAACACACACAAAAAGAATCTTAAACTGGATACTGTATGAAAATATTTGCAGGAATAATAGGCAGTAAATTGAATGTTGTACTGCCAGCGGATCCAGCTGAGCTGACCAGGTCGCGCTGCGCTATGGTCAGGATTTTCAAGAACAGAAGACACGTTGAGGGCATCGGGAAATATATCACAGCCATCAATATACTTAGACAAAAGATCAGTTAAAACAGATGTTATACATGGCACTAAAAAGCCTGATATAAACACCAAAAGATGGATTAGAAAAAAAGCAGCCGGCAGAACACTGCAAACTGCCATGAGAAGAAAGATGAAAACCTCAAGAAATCCTGTTGTGAATTTTTTGACTCGGCCCAGTGTTTTGAGGTTGTTTGTGTCTGCACCCTTTTTTCCCCCCCTTTCCTCAACTTTCATGGCTCTTACTGGGGCTGGTTTGAGGAGGGAGAGTTCTTGGGGTTTTTTTTCCTTTTTTTGCACAAAATGAGCACTGGTTTCCATTTTCCCAGCTGAACACGGAAAGGCTCGTATTACTAAAGATCTCCACATCTGCCAGCGGTTTGGGTAAGGGGGAAAGGAAGGGGGAAGCGAAAGGCAAGAAAAAGCCGCTTTTATTACATTTCAAAAGTTCAAACTCAAAGTTAGGGCTAGTTTGGCAGAAATCCGTGAAGCGTCGGCTCTGGAGGAGACGAGTTTTGACAGCCTTCCATCCACGGCCTCTTTTCAGTTAGGCACGCGGACATCACATAAGACAGAGGGTGGAGCGAGGGGGAAAAAAACAAGCTGTTTTGGAGAGTGAGGCAAGGATGCAGCGCCTGTGCTGAACCTGGGTCACTCCATCCAGTCAGTCATTTGTCCGTCAGCATTTGGACCTCATGTCAACACAGCTACATAAAGGTTTTGCAACATTCATCTGAACCCTGTTTACTCCCTCAAAAGCGGTTACTGCGGTATGTACGTATCGAATTCTTGCACTTTTACTGTTGTAAAATACCAGAAGTTCCCTTCTGCCAGGCTGGTGTATGTGGTATTCATTTCTAACCACCCAAAAAAAGGGCACAGGGAGGCGGAAAATGAACTACAGAACTGCGGCACTCACTTCATTAGTGCTCAGGGTGAGGATTCGATCCAGGTCCTCAACTAGCTGCTTGAAGGTGGGTCTGTGTGATGAGATGGCATGCCAGCAGTCTTTCATCATCATGTACCTGTGTGACAGACAGACAGACAGAAAGCAGTTTGATCAGACGGGAAAAGTGTTTTTCTGCCCTTTTTTCTTGGCACTGTGTTAAAGCAGCACCATTGTCCACTGACGGCATTAGCTGAATGTGGACACTGACAGCAGACAGTCCCAGCTGTGCAAAGGCCGGACAAAGTGAGCACAGAGCCCCAAAGACATGAATCTGATGAACTAGGCTGTGAAGGAGTCTTGCGTGACAGCGAAACATGCACGTCATCATCAGATGGGTTGAAGAAAATGGGCATTTTTGCAGGAAAACATGCTAAACTTACAGCTCGTTGGTGCAGTTTCCAGGCTTGTCCATGCGATGGCCCTCTTTTAGCAACTTGAAGAGCTCTTCAACTGGAATGCCAGGGTAGGGTGAGCCTCCTAGTGTGAAGATCTCCCACATTAGCACCCCAAATGACCAGCTAGACGAGGGAAAAAACATATATTAATTATGCACATACAACAGATAGCAGAAAAGTGTAATGTAGCTGTCCATTGAGGCTTAAAGAAATGCCAGCAGTATCACATCAATGGTGTCAATGCCCACTTTCTGCCATCCAGTGACTTGTCGTGCAAAGTGCTACCCAAGCCATGCTCTCAATGAAGGCCTTTGTGCCTCCCTGGCTGTTTCACACAGACTGGCATTGTCCGATCACACCACACCAAAGCAAACACTGGACCACCCACAGCAGACAAAAGAGATGCAAACAACAAAAGATGTTCAGAAATAAGGATGGTGACTGCTAAGTCTAAACTGCTTCCTCATCTCGTCGTGCTGCTTTTAAATATCAGCGATTCAAAGCTCCGGATGTCATCTCCGTCCTGCTACGTGTTTATTTAAGCAATAAAGACTGTCTCAAATGGAAATCTTTGGTCCATGCCTAAAGAAAAAAAGGCTGTAATATTTCACACACAGGCACATTTCCAAACACAAAGCACACACGCTCATTCAGTCGGCCACAAACCACATTAATGGTACAAAATAGACTAGTATGCAAGGAAGTGAGGGCTGGACATTTATCAGTTCCTCCATCTGTTTACACAACCAGCCAGCCAGGTTTGCTTTCCATTCTATCGCTGTGTTGCATCTCTGCAATTGTTGACACACTCATCTCTTGTTTCTGTGTCACTTTGTAACCATCCCTCAGTGCTTGTCAATCTGCCGGGCTGCGTAAGTTTGTGTCCACCTGCAACCAGCCATGACATACAAGATAAACAAACAAACCGCCATGCTCAGGGGTCTCCTCAATGTTTTTGGCGGTCTGCCTTCAGAAGAGAGTCCTTATGTACCAACTTACTACTTATATCTATATATATATAATATATGCGCATTCGTGCCCAATTCTAGGTTTCTGCTGGTCAACAGTCTCAGGTGGGGACAGATTTGGACCGGTAGCAAACTCCAAATGTGTACGTTTTCAAGTAAAAAATTAAGCTGTCTGTGAAGACTCAAAGAGTCATATCATTTGTTTTATTTTTTTTTAGTTCAGTTGGGAAAATTAGGTATGTACCATAAATTCGTGACACTGATAAAACTCAAACCACCACAGCTGACCATGCTACAACGCACTCCGGATTTTATGTTCCCAGCACAACCGGAGCTGAGCACTCGGGGCCCATTTGTCAAAACAGCAATAGGAGACATTCATTGGAATTCATGTATTCATTTAATCTGATGTCATGTATAGATTGCCTGTAGGCCTGGTGATGTCTGAGTCCAAGCCCCAGTCCCCCAACCCCCCCACCCCGATCATATATGACACAAAAAAGCCAATTACTAAAAGTGAGTGATGACTTGTAATTAGTGGTGAGCTGATACAAGAGTAAGGCAGCCACCCTCAAACACACAACTGCCCCTCCCCCGTGCGCTCTCTGACATTATGGATCGGTGCTGTGGACATCACGTGCATGCACTACAAATATGATTTATGAGCACAAACAAGTACACAAAGGCACGGACAGAAAATATATATTTTTCCATTTTTTAGTTTAGTGAGATAATTTCATGCGCTAATGGATGACTCACACATATCCACACACACACACTCACAAAAAGCAGAGGGTCAGCATGCGAGGCATTTATCTAATTGCCACATACACTTTCTGCCGCCAGTGTCTGGAGCAGAAACTTCAAACAACGCTGTCAGAGCGCATAAGACTCAAACACCGAAAACAGAGGGACGCTCTCTCTTTGTTCTGTTTTTAGAATGAGTACTCTTGATCTTAAAAAAAGGGGTGGGCGGGAGACAGAGATGGGTCAACAATTCACATACCAGATGAATGAAAATAAGAATGTGGGGATGAAAGGAGGTTATTTTGATTGTGGATTTGCTCCAAAATGATGAGCAGCGTGTTCAACGTGTTGCTGAATGAGCAGAGGACAGTAAGGAGGGGTGGGGGGATGGGGGGGGGGGGGGGGGGATGAAGGCCTGCACTGGAGCGCCACAGCATTGTTGCAAACAGACATGTGTGGAGGCCCAAAGAGGTGGGGAGACTTCCGAGGCGTGCCGGAGGAGCGAGGGGGTGAATCAGAGGAGGGGGTGCCGGTGGGCTCCAGCCTCCTTCTGGGCCCTTTGAAGCCAGCTAGATTAGTAACACAGCATTGGCTTCAAGTCTAGCGTGAAATCCTCACTTTTGCCACAGACTGGCCAGCACTGGCCCCCTATAGCCGGTTATCCTCTGACCCCACCCTCATCCGACACAGCACCAAAAAACAACTTCCACTCACTGAAAAACAAGCCCTCCAGTCTGACTGAGAAAAAACATGCAGCCGCGATACTGCCTCTCATTCCTAAATAAACCATTCTTAGACGTAGGATATATAGATGGTTTTCAAAGTACTTACACATCACTCTGGTGTGTGTAGACCCGGTCAAAGAGGGCCTCTGGAGCCATCCATTTCACCGGGAGACGACCCTGAGGACACACACAGACAAGGGGTCATCTCAGATTCAACCACAACAACAACACATCAATGAACTCCTCATCTCTGGACTCGTCAGCAGGATGAAACTCATTTGCTGCTATGAATAGATTAAAAGAGTAAGGTGGTGGGAAAGCGATTGCCTGGGAGGAGGATTTTGCAGAGGAGCATTTACATTATGGGAGTAGATAAACAGGGTCACAGACAGAGGAGAGAGTTCGTCGGTGGGAGCCAATAAAGAGCAAGCTGAGAAGCTGAGCTCATTCCACAAGGTCAGTGTGCGTTTGTGGTGGTCAACAACCCCGGGGTACCCTGCGTTATTAGAATAGGTACAACCTAAAGCAGCAGATACACTCATCAACTAACTCATAAAAAATGCATCATGAATAAATTTAGCAGACATACCTTTAATCATTATACCAAAACTAGTTACACACTGATGTTCATTTATCGAAACAAACATCACATCAATGAAAGTTGTTCTATGTATCAAGAAAAAACAAAACAAAATACCAACACAACAGCTCTGTCTGCACCAGTTTCGTGTCCTCACATCATCAACTCTGAATATTGTTGCTGTTGTCATTAGCTAGTTCTCAGCGTGATCGTGCAAGTGATGAAAAGGCAATCATGCATATCAAATGAGGATGTGAAGGCAATGCTGCCCTGCGGTGGGAAATAAGGACACGGCCAGGCCACTGTGGAGATTATGCTTAGGCTGCCCCTCTCTCACCCTCCACCCCCCCCCCCCCACTCTCCCTCTGCTTCTCTTTGGGGCTAATTGAATAAGTGTTGATGCAACTAAGAGAACAAGAGACTGACGGGGTAAACAAGGCAGAGCCTCCAGAAGCGCGGCATTCACAGGACGCATGGGAACCTGCAGGTTCTGCCAAGACACCAGCAGTGGAAAAGACTGATGCCAAAAGAATGAGACATGGGCCGGTCTCCCACTGAAACTTGCGAACATGCTCCACTCTGTAATGCCGGCGAGGCGCTCCTGTTGAGGACTTACATTGGTGGTCTTTTTATAGTAGTCAATGTTGTGGACGTCCCTGGCCAGCCCAAAGTCGGCAATCTTCATGACGTTGCTCTCTGTGACCAGAACGTTTCTGGCAGCCAGATCTCTGTGAATACACTGGAGGGGGAGAAAGGGAATGTCACACACAGAGTGGAAAAAAGGGAGGAGAAAGACAAGGCAGTTCTTTACACAAACTCCACAAACAGGTGTATGTCTAACTTGGAAAGGATTTAAAATATCTGCGGCGTGTGCCGCCATCGGGTAATCTCCACCATAGAGGCAGCTTTTGACTAAACAACACGACGCCACACCAACTATGCCGGCACGGACACGTCCAGCTAAGTGAGGATTCCTCACATAGTTTAGCCACATATATGGCTGGTTGGTTGCGCATCAGAGAGCATGTGCAGGCAAAACCATATGTATACACTCCAAAGTGTGTGAGCGCGCGGATGTGTGGAACAGTGTGCTTTGTCAAATTCCGACAGTGAGAGGGAGCGTGAGGCTGCATTTTGCGAACATAGTTGTACCCCATCATTGTGAAAACTTCACAATTCCTCCAAACAGAGGATCTTTTGTGGTGTTATGAGAGACAATGCGGGGACAGGGCAGGGGGTCCGAGTGGTGCTTTCAGGAGACAATGTTCCCACAGTGGTGCCCAAACAAGCTCCCGACGCTAAACCTTCCTGGATGCCTTCATCAAACCCTCTCGAGTATTGAGCTGTGAACTGAACTGTGTGGACATAGGGCAGGTGGGACACTGCTGGGAAAGTGGGACATGTTGCGGTGTTTGCTTGTGTGCTCTTCTTACCTTCTGTGATGCTAGGTATTCCATGCCACGTGCCACCTGATAAGTGCAGGAGACCAGATCTTTGAAAGTGAGCTGTTCATCCGAGACACGGGCGATATCGTAGGAGTACTCCATGCCTGGCGGCCGGCGGGCTCTGAGGTACTCCCTTAGGTTACCTTTGGAAGCGTACTCGACTATTACATAGAGAGGACCTGCACAGGCAATAAAACCTGAATTAGCATTTGAAATGAATAATGGAAGATATCATTTTGATAGAAAGAAACTTCTGAGTGAATTTCAAATGTCACACGGTACACTGAAATTATAAAACTTTGAATTTGCCTCACTATCTTGGCTGTCCATCCAAGCAAACAAAAAAAGTGTCTTAGTATGAAAAGGGACGCAGTGCCAAGGAAATTAATTTTTTTATGTCTTTATTTTTTCCCACCATCATAGTTGCTAAGTGAAATCAAAACAGACATATTTCCCATCATAATTCTTCTGTATGTGACATAATAACGGTTTCTGGTTACTTCTTGTTTCATCCTGCCCATCTGATGTGGTCTGATCATACATTTTCTGAGTTTGTTATAACATGCAGCACGCCACATAAGCTTCTCTTAAAAGCACCATGCAGTCATGAAAAGAGGAAAGGAGATCCTCATTTAGCTGTAAAGTGTTACATATCAGGAAAAGGATACAGTTAAGTACCCAGGTGTTAATTTAATCAAATTTAACCTAAGACGAACAGCAGCATAAATATTACAATGTGGCATAAACATATCTTCTTATCAGCCGCCCATATCATTACACAGGAAAGTTTGATCAACTCTCATCTATAACACTGCTTTGCATAATTGGGATTTGCAGGTATTTGTTTAGGTACAGCTTTGTTAAGATTTCACTTATAAATTTCAGTCAGACCCTAACCCTGTTTTTTTAAAGGTTATATAACTGTTTAAAGCCTTGCTGTGTAGCTATGTTGTATTCACAAGAGGTTTTTGCCTGTTTTCTAAATATAATTTTGACATTGATTTTAACATTAATGTAAACATAGCTACCAGGTATTTCGACATTTCGCTCACGGTCTGACTTTGGGGTGAACATGCAGAGATGTCCGTTCCTGGGAAGATTAACAGCTGCCTTGAATGTTTACCACATGTGAGCAATCTTTCCTGCTTTGTCCTCATAACCCTTCCCAGATTGTTCAGCAGCAGCAATACCTTCATAAAACTGATAAATAACTCACATATCTTGCCACTCATTAAGGTTGCATTTGAGAACTTGCATGGGAAGATTTATTTTTTTTAGAATTTTCGAATTTCCTGATATGTAATGGATCACTATCAAAGGATGGTGTGCTTTTCATTTCACATGACTGCGTATGCTTATCGCGTCTAAGTACTGATTTCTGTTCTGTACAACTTACCGTCCTGCGTGCAGGCTCCCAGAAGGTTAATGATGTTCTTATGTTTACCAATCATCTTCATCATTTCCATCTCTGACACCAGGTCAGACAGGTCTTTCTCAGTGGCATCATCTGACAGCAAAAACAGGTTCCAATGAGCTTTTGTCAGGAAGAGGTCATGAAAACAAAGAGATGTCAGTCCTGTCCCATTGTAGCCTTTTGACTTCAGACTGTTGGGTCACCCAGTTAAACAACACTTTTTTTGTAGGTGCTTCTGGTTAAGTGATGCTGACAGAAAATTAGGCTAATGTTACAGCAATAAGGGAAGCTCCTCACACTGACTACAGAGGTATCCTTTCAGTGCCAGGGGGAGGGTTGAGAAGGAATTGAAACTGTTCCATCTGGATTCATTATCTTAGGCACAGTCTCCTTTTGTCCTGGACCTGCTTGAGCCGGTGGAAGTTAACTAATTTACTATGATGGGCAGGGTGGCATTGCTTGCATTCTTCTTAATCATTACCATATCTGGAGTCATACTAAAGAGCACATTGCCTTTGTTGTCATGGAGTCTGCAGGCCTACTGCTGTACCTGACTGACTGTGCAGTGCAATCCCAAACTTTTCCAACACCACCCCTCCTTCTTCTTTCATTAATCACAGCAGCACAGCTAAGGTGACTTACTTCTTTGTGTGGGTGCTGACTGAGCTTTAGCCAGCTGCTGCTCTGGGGTCAGGTATGTGACCGCCCCTAACCCTTACCTACCCAATCTGCCTTCCTCACCCGTCACTCAGCAACCACCAATAACGAATAATAACAACAGCCCCAGGCTCCACTTTGCACCTCTGCTGAACCCTCAGTGCAGCATTAATCACATTCTAACACATTCTCAGCTTCCCCACAAGACATAATGAAATAGTGTACATCTAACCCTGATGGTTTGATTTTCTGTGCGAGCCAGACATTTATTAATGCAACCATTCGGTGACTGTGCAGCAACGAGAGAATCACCTACCTTTCAGCATTTTGACTGCAACTGTGACGGGCTCCTTGGGCTTGTCCTTGTCAACGCCCAGGGCCTCTGCCATAACCACCTGGCCAAAGCAGCCCTCTCCTAGAGGTTTGCCCAGGGTTAACCTGCAGACATAAGACAGCAGACACACAAAACGAGTGAAGAAACAGCAGGAATAAATTGCAAAGAGGTTGAAACACAGACTGAAACCCATCCACCTGATCGCACTGTTGCATCCACTAACCTGCATTGCAAAAATGAAAGACAAAAAAAACAAAAAAAAAACAGGTCAGATGTAGTGTGAGATCAAGAGAGTTCATGAAACCAGACACAGAGCCAGTTTCTCAGCCTCACCCTATCTTTTTTTTTCTGACGGCATTGCTCTTACTTTTTCAACCAGATTGGATCTGTGTGAGAGCTTTATTGGCTCAGAGACTGCAGTCTGTGCCAGGGCAGTAGGTAAGAAGGCAGACATGGCAACAATAATCACTTGATAAAGCCAGGGAGAGCCACTTATTTCCAAACTGTTTACCCAGTCTTGGCATGTTTCAATATACACTCTTTACAAGTCATTACATAGAGTTTAGCTTAACCTGACACATTAGCCTATGACAGATGGAAACCTGGCTTTGCTTGCCATAAAAATGAGCCGGACTGTAATACCAGCTGGAAGCATATAATAGAATTTAGGACGTGTCAAAATAACTGGCGTTCAACTTGTCACAACTATCACTTGTGTTCTTTAGCAGCTATTCAAAGCTACAGTACTTATCCGACACCCCTGAACAACCGTCGTACCCTGAGCCTTTTGATTGACTTGTGTTGGTTCCGCCCCTTAGGGTAAGTGTTTGGGCAGTGCAAACATTCATTCTACCCATCGCCAAGCCAAGGGCCTGAGGCCGGCGCCCTACTGTCGTAACACAATCCCCTATCTGTCCACACGCACAAGCCACACTCAATGGCAACCATTCTATCCATCCAGCCATACATAATCATTGTTATTTTTCCTCCATTCAAGCCGCAAAAGTTAGCATTCCTCAGCATTCTGCAATCCCAACATGATCTCTAAGATGCTGGAGCAGAAAGGCGGACAGTAAGGATCCAAGCAGACACACACCAAAATGTATTCAGCATCGAGGATTATTTCCATTGGTTAAATCAAACCATCGATTGAAATAAGAACCTTTCACCGAGTACCATCCAGATTGCAAATAGCATTACTTAAGAAATTCATATCTGCGATGAGAGCTGGCAAGTTTTCTGATTCTGGTTGCCTTTCCAGCCAAACTTCGAAAAGACATTCTTCAGTGTTTACAGTTTGGGATTTCCCCCCCCCCTTTTTCTTTCAAAACTGGAGGCCTCAGTTTCACGTTAAACAACTATAACCTTTGCTGTCCAGTTAAATCCACCCTAAAGCTTATCACTGGCCACAGTAACCGTGACTAACCGGAACCTTGGCTGTGCTAATTCTTTCGGTGTGATGCACAGCAAGCACTCCTCGCCCAAGCACGCAAATGAAAGCCATGAGTGCTTGCTCCTAATTAGCAGAGCTTTACTCCCCACCAACAGAAGCATGTGTGAGGGACTCGTGAGTGAGAGTGTGAAGGGTTACAGTGGCAGTTGTAAAGGATGAGGTAAGGGCGGTGGATGTAGCCAACACATGAATTAGTACCTTTCATCTCAGCCACCACATCTATTACTCACTTGTTATTCATTACTGACTGCACTCTTCAAATATAACAATGGTTATCTAATCATTTAGCAGCAGATATACAATCAGAGGGATATTCTTGGTGTAGTAGTGCTGGTGCTACTAAAGTGGACCCTGTTTGCCAAAGCTGACACTGAAACAGGAACGCGCAGGCCTCACCTGTCCCGCGCAAACTCCCATCGCGGATCCTCTGGGAGGTCGTACTCAGGGATTGGCTCATCGTGCGCGGAGCTCCGCCGCGTTGTGATTCGTACCAGAGGGGTATTAGAGTTCATGGAGGAGCTTGAGTCTGCCGACACCTAAAGTAAAAAGGGGAACGGCTGATCACCGAAATCTGGGTTCATGGACCAGATAAAGCTCCAAGGCATCACTAGAGGAGTTGTAGTATGTACATGACATTAACTGGGATACTGAGAATTAACAATTCTGCTTAGTCGGACATATAAATCTGAGTAGAATATGCACAAGCTGTATCTTTCATCTATGATTAAGAGGTGAGCGACAACAGTAGTTTTGATAAATCTGTGTTAATCGCTCAACTACACATCTCATTTCTCATTTCTGCCCTCTCTACCATCACCTTACCTTCACGCAAGAAGTCGCACGTCTCTCAGCAGAACACTTTCTGTACTTTTTTGTTTCTCTTGAAGGAAAAACATGTCTTACATCCAGAAGAGAAAACCTCTGGCTTTAGCTGTGGGCAGTGATCACTTGCACAAAAATGCAGGCCTTTTAAATGGGACTGCTTGTACATCCTTTACAAGGTAAAGCAGCATGTACTGTGGTGTGTGGTATCAGCTTGTGTACAAAATCCCATCAGCATATTGACTATATAATTGGGTATATATTGGATATCAATCATTTTATTTCTTTTACGTGTGTATTGTGTGTTTGCTCCTCCAGGGGTGTTAGATGCCATTAGAACTCTTTATCTACTTTCTGTTACCTGGCGGCGCAGCGGAATCTGTTTGGTCAGTTTGTGGACCGTCGGCTGGCCTCCGAAGTCAGGCTTCTTTGCAGTGTTCTTCATGCGGCACACCACCACGATGCCCACCATGCAGGCGATGAGGAACACGCCTGCACAATATATAGCAATCTCCACGTAGTCTGGGGAGAGGGGCCCTGGGGATTTCTCAAGGGCTGAAGAAATGAGGGGACAGCAGTTTAGGAGAAGACAAACTCACATGATTTCTGTTTGAGCAGACACACATGGGTAGGTAACAGACGAGCAAATGTAGAGATGATTCATGCATGAATATAATCACAATCAGCAGGCAAACTAAACAGTCGTTTCGTGTTTCTCCTAAGAAAGACACATGCCTGCTTTTTCAGGCCTGTACTGGGCTTAACTAATTACAACAGATACTAAATTCATGGCTCAGCTGATAATGGCAGGCCTGCATTTGTCTACTTTTCTTTTCTGATGTTGGAGATACATCGGTACAAGTAAAGACACACTCTCGGGGAGGATGGAACAATATAAGCTTGACTTGAGAGAGCAAACTGGGGAGGGTCTTTAATGGCCGTGCATGATCTGAGCTTTTTGTCTGGGAAAGGGTCTGAGCTTGTGAGGGTTATAGAGGAAACTGTTACATAAGGCAGAGCCTTCTAGACCACATGCGAGGCTCTGGTGTAGCCAGCTGGAGCTGAAGCTGCATGTCAGAACTTCTTTTCCTGTCTGCCTAAAATCTCCTGGTCAAAAAATCTCTGCGCATACACAGAGATCAAAGCTCGAATGGCGCCATTAGTGCAGACAGGGCACATTAAGGGTCATAAATATTGAATATCTGAGAAAATCACTTGGTGATCATTATGCTTCATGTCTACATGCAAAACAAAACCACTGCTAAAGCATTAAAGGTGGTTTGATATGATTTGAGGGCTGATAATCAATCTGATTAACTGAGCTTTGAGTCAATAGACTGAACTTGTGTACATGGTGATGCTAAGTACTTTCTTAAAAATAACTAAAGGCCAGTTATACAGCAACAGAATTGTCTGAGTTCAAAACTCAAAATTTTACATTCATGCAAATGAGTCGTGTTGAAGAGAGATATTTGGCACTGATAATTGAGAAAGCCAAGCCAACTCAAATTGAGTATCAAGCTTTACCTTTCAATCTTTATTTCAATAGGTTGAAATAAAGATCTTAAAGAAGGACAATTATCAGAGCCAGAGAAAGGGTATGGAAACATCTCTTAAAAAACTATTTTGACATGCAGAGTGTGGCAGTGAAATACTTTCCGAAAAGAGTCAGAAAGAGAGGAGGGGACGATAACAGAAAGCAGAAGACAAATCCTCATCTTTTCTTCGGAGTCTAGGGACATTTGAGCTGCTCTTGGAGCTCTATTTCCGTCTGGAGTTATAATAAGTTGTCTGTAGACTACGCCGTTATCTTCCCTGAGCTTTCAACAGCTTGCCATTCCACATAATATTATAGAATATATGCTCCCGGTTCTTGCATTACATGATCATGGATGGTGAGCATGCTGGTTCATCGTGGTAATCTAATATCTTAGCTCCAAGGGAGCGGGACACCAAAGTGAGGACTTGCCTTCTAAAAGAGGTCACTGAAATTACATAATCTGACAATTTTAGACAATGATCAGATAGGGGAAAAAGGGAAAGTGGGGAGAGTATTTAAGTTCATATACCTGGAAGCACCGTCAGAGTAGCAGTTTGATACGAGAGCCCAATAGAATTACCCGCCAAGCACGTATACTCCCCAGCATCCTCAAATGTTACATTGGGCAAGTAGAGAACTTCTATCTCCTTATCTGTAGTGTTAACACCTGCGGTCTGAGACAGGAGGAAGAAAAAGCAAGAAGGGGAAAACAAGTGCAAAGGAGGAAAGTAAAGTTTGAAGATAACAACAGAAAAAAAGAGAGCAGAAATGGGAGAGAGAGAGAGAAAGAAAATGAGACCCAAAACACCGGGAAATTAGAGCAGCTGGAGGGTGTCCATCGTTGAGGTCCTGTCTTGAGGATATGACATGGGGAGCGAGGAAAAGGGAGGAGACAATGAAAGAGCCCACCACAACATGTATGCCACCAAAACATGAGAAAATGAAAAGAACCAAAAAAAACACACACACACACCACAAAAAATCCTGAAAGGTGCCCATCACCCAGAAAACCTGCTAAAAGAAACCAGTCTATTCAACACACTGTGGACTGGGTGCATGCATGAGAGCATGGAGAGCACTGAGACACCGCCCACTTTCTTGACACAGCTTGCAAGTCAGAAAGAGGTGTAAAAAAAAAATGTGAGCTGTGAGTCATCATCTAGTTATGCAGGCCCAACAGTGCTTCCATGGCGGCACCAATCCCAGCAATTGGGTGGGAGCAGCTGAAAGACAAGGGGTGTAACATTCGGGAAGATAAAACATCAACGAGCCCCAGGATCACCGAGACCACCAGCAGGACCACCACCGAACAGGAGGGAAACCACAGGGCGGGAGGGTAGGTTGGGTCAGGTCTCAAGGGTTACCTGGGATAACAGTCAGCCAGCCTGACTGACTGGCATCGCCTATATAATTGGAGACTTTACAGATATACTCTCCAGCATTTTCCTCTGTCACGTTGGTGAGGGTGAGAATCTCCACATCTGAGCTGTTAATTCCTGAACTCTGCAATCCACACACACATATGCTTAGGACCGTCACACAATTCAGACAGACGTGCATCATGATAACGTCATGACAACAGAAACCGTCTATGGGTCTGCAGGTGCCTGCATAAAGGAGGGGGCATCGCCAAGAGCCAATCATTTCATTTGGAAGGAAATAGAACTGATTTGTTACTTAACTTGGGAGTTTTCACGAAAAATTCTTCACTGGCAGAAAAACGAGTATGAAAAATAGGCTGCACGGTTAAAAACGCGTACGTACCTTTAATACTTTGACATAAGCGTGTCCATCTGGCCCTAACCGACTCCCATTCTGGGTGATGTGTTTCAGCCACTGGATGTGAGGTTGGGCATCACTGTAGACCTTGCAAACGAAACGGGCGTCCTCTCCAACACGTACAGTGGTGTTGGCAGGGAGACCAGCCTGGAGAATGGGCCGGTGAGGGGATCGTTCTGATGAAGGAAGAAACTGTTCATTTCAGCTGGATGTTTCAAAAATCCTCTACAAACATAGAAAAGGCATAAAGAATTTTTTTTTTTTTTTTGCACAAGCAAAATACTTTGATTGGAAAAGCCTCTCACCCAATCCTCTGCAAGGCAATATGTGCACAGTTTGGCTAAACTATTTCTCAGAAATTCAGGCACCTTCACGGCCCCTTCACATCTGTGGCTATAATGATGGTCAGAGGGGGAGGATTTGCAATAGAGAGTACCAGATGGAGCCCACCTCTCTCCCAAAGTCAGCCGGGATAGATTTTACCCTACATTTACATTTATACATTTAGCAGACGCTTTTTATCCGACTTACAAAAATAGCCTTTCAGGACAAGAGATACTCTTGGAGGAGCTAGGTCTTCAAGGATTTCTTGAAGGAGGAAAGAGAGTGTGATGCTCTAATAGTGATTGTAAGGCCGTTCCACCAGCGTGGAACTGCAGATAAGAGTCTAGATTGACCTGTTGGCCATGTTAGCTAGCGCTCCTTGGAGGAACGGAGTGGACAAGCGCTGACATAGGGCTTTAAGATAGTGTTGAGGTACATGGGTGCAGATCCATCAAACTTTCTGTTGGGCTGCATTAGTGATTTGAATTTGATGTGAGTGGCCAATGGAGTTCAGTGAACAGGGGTGTGACATGTGCTCTCTTTGGTTGGTTGAAAACCAAACAGGCTGCAGCAATCTGGACCGTATTTAATGGTCTTAAATGAAATAGTTATCTAGTGTCCTCTTTAAGAAATAAGGTAAAAATGTGTTAGAATTAGGGTTAGAGTAAAAGATAAAAGGTTTTTGGGTTAAATAATGCAATATATTCATCAAAAGTACCAAAAAAACCAACACACAAATGTCTGTGTGTACTTGGACAATTGAAAACAACAGGAATAGGATACAGAAAAATAGAAAGGATGTTCCAATTGTTCCAATATAGAATTAATTCAAGGACTGAAGTGGCTGAAAGGGGCGTGAGAAGACAGAACAGAGGCATTTCATGGTGAGCCATGCACGAACTGGAGAACTAAAAGCATCCGGGCATCCAAGGTCGGTGAGAAAAAGAAGCAAAGGAAGAAAGCAGCGTGGCGCAGGATGGCATGTGGCTCCCCACAAAATGCCGCACAGCCACTGAGTGCCACAGTCCTGACGGAAAAAGCCGGAATCTGTTCCAGCAGCCCGTTCGTGCCCCTCACCATGTGTGCCAGTAAGTATATGTCTCCAGACACCAGTCTGAACCAGTAAAGTCTGGCTCCTTTTGTTTGTTTGTTTGTTTTTTTTGCTGTTGTTTCAAATAGCTGATCCTGCAGGTCATTTTTGCAACAAAGAAAAGAAAGAAAAGATAAAACTGTGTGCTTCGTCCACCTCACTATAATGCAGCAAACTTAGGCAAGAGGTTGAAGGGGGTAGTGGCAATAGAACAAGTCATAGAGGGGGTTTACAGCTCTGCAGTAAAACAGAACAAAAACAGCTATATGGCGTCTGAAAGAGAGTTTTAGCTAGTCCCACAGTAAGGCAGAGCAGGGGGCCCCTGTCGGGGAGTTTGTGTTTCAGTCTTCATGTGTTTCTGCACACATGCCTGTATATATTCACTCAGAGCAAAAACCCTCAGGTTATTTATCACAATCTCATTAAAAGAAAATCCCCTAATCACTATGGAGACACTGATAAAAACAGCAAAAGTGGCTAATTATATCAAGACTGCAAAAGAACATTATTGGATAAATTGAACAAAATGACACGGACTGCGGACGCTGGGATGATGAGTCAGACTGCGAGAGCTTCATGTCTGCCCTGGTTATCTTGGTCTTATTGACCAAGCTTTAAAAGAATGACAGCATCAGATAAACTTTGATGTGTACTGATGGCTTATAAAGTGGGTCGAGTGAGGCCAAAGGAGAGCAGGTTCGCATTGAATTAAGAGGAGAAACGGCGTGTACACACACGTACACACACTCTCAGAAACACACAGGGATCTACTATCTTTATCCCCACTCCCCTTGTTGTCCCCGCTGCCCATCGATTTTGCAAACAGAGCAGAAAAACACTCTTTGCTTTCTGCGCTCCAAAGGTCAGGGAAAAGGGGTTGACGGAGTCGGGTCTTAACTTGCTGTGATAGCGCTGAGGTCAGCACTTTGTGTGCTCACTGTGTGACACAGAACGATTGTCGTCAGCTCAGGTAGGGCTTCGTCATGGCTAATCCCAACCCTACCCACAGACATCATTTGTTAGTTTTTGTACTACTACTTGAATGTTCTATTCAACAAGGTCATCATTATGATTACTAAGTATTTGGGCTTCATCCATTCATTTACTCTACAGCTCATTCCCAGTAGGGTCCCGGGGTCGAAGCCGATCCCAGCTGTCATTGGGCAAGAGGCAGGGGACATCCCGGACAGATCGGCAGTCCATCACAGGACTGATCTAGAACCGAATGCGCTGCATGCATGATTTGGGGTGCTTTTAAAAGCTAGCGGTTGTAACATTTTCTTTTCCAAAGCAGCCAGAATTGGCATGATTCAAAGCTGTGTCCAGTTCTTGTCTATATTTGGCAACAGAAGTTGACAACAGCAGTTGTAAAATTTGTCTTTTAAAGATTCTTAAAATATGTTTTTTCTTTATCTTGACCAGATAGAGAAAATAAAAACCCTATATGCCCTGAACAGATGGTCCTTAAAACAATTGAAGCAGATGGCCTATCGCAAGAAAAAAGTCATTAAAGTACATGGAAAGTGTTCACATTTTCATCTTTGGCTTCTCGTTACTGGGCACATGCATCCAGAGTGCGCCTGGGTAATCAAACAGCGCACACACATACACAAACACACACAATCCTCAACTTGTGCAGAGCTCCCCTCCCTCCTTAGGTCCTCTGGTTATGAGCGAGTGTTTCGTTGACTGTACTGACCCACTACATCCAGGGTGTAGGTGTGGTTGATGGATCCAAAGTCGTTCTTCACAATGCAGGTGTAGTTTCCCTTGTCTGACGGCACCACACTCTCCATGATCAGGGTCCAGTGATTGAGACGCACCTGGGTTCCAGACACAGAGCCATTAGTTTGACATCATTACAAGATGTGAAAGAGCTAGCGCAACAAAAAGCGGAATGAAAGAACGGGAGACTGACAGAGGATTTGGTGGGCGGATGTGAAAAATGATGATGGAAAACTCTTTAGAAGCCGTTGACAGATGATTCAGTGGAATGAGTCAGCTATATTTTGCCTTTTTCTTTTTTTTTTTTTTAAAGATTACACACATTATAAGTTTTCAGTTCATCTGAAAGAAAACAGGAAAATGTTCCTTGCTAAGTCCCTCGTACTTGCCAGTCTCCACCATTATGTGCAGAAAAGCCCACCTTTGTGCTCTAAGCTGTTTCAAGCACACAGCAATTCACCAGATTCACCTGTGTGTGGAATCCACAGGTGTGAACATACAATACGGTTTCCGTCTGCAGGCTGAAGGGATACTATAGCTGTTGCTTGTTCAGGCCTACATTTTACACAAAGGAGAGGTTAGGCCACAGGGCTGGGTTTAGCTTTTGTCCATTTGTTGACTTAAAAAAGATAAATGAGCTGCCTAAGAAATATCTGACAGGCTGACTGTATCATTTCAACAACTATTTTCAGCCTTAACTGTGGTAAACTTCCTAAAAGCTAATGGGAAGCTAAATTAACAATTAACAGTTATACCAACAAGTTCTGCTGAGACGTTTTTCCTCATAAACTATTAGTTATTAACCAGAAGTATCAAAGTTGTTAAGCATCACTGGCTTTCTTTGAAAGTAGTTTGAACATTCAGGCACTGCAAACTATGAGTTAGCAACCCAAACATTACAGGATTAACCATTAAATTATCCTAAAAAACAAAACACCCCGTCTCCAAACTAAGCTGGTGGGGTCTGTACAACCTGATTGAGTTATTCTAACATTCTGAACTCATTCCGGCCCTGACAGACTGCTTTCTCTGTATGTTTCTGTCTGAGGACACTTAACCCCTACATCCTGGGCTTACATTTCTAATTGATGGGAGCCAAGAACTACTTCAGGTTACAGTGAAAAGCTTTGCAAAGTACCCCGGCGAGACTAGGCACACGGATGAGCAATTCCAATTTCACACCAGAAACTCTGTCCTCGTTTCCTCTCTCAATTCTGCCCGTACCCCTCCAGCGGAGGGTGGAAAAGGGGTGAAAAGACAGCCAGAGAATGATAGAGAGATGAGGCGGGATGCCTCCTCCTCCCCTCCAGTCCCAACCCCCATATCAATTGTGAATTAAAAAAGAAGAGTGGAACACAAAGTAGTAAAAAGCAAGAGGAAGCATCGAGCTGAGTACAAAAAAGTTTGAGGTATTTCTGTTTGTCCTACCTTATACCCTCCCATGCGGTCCTCTTGGCGGAAAGGCCTGCCATTTTTAAACCAGGTAAGTGTGGGCTCTGGATGGCCTCCTGCGGCACAACGGAACTTGACTGTGTTGGCAGCCGGCACCGCATGCAGCTTCTTCTCCATCTTCGCAGACGAGGTCCAAAACGGAGCACCTACAACCAGATAACAAGTGGTGTTCGGTTAAATGCAGCCGTGGACAGGCTAATTCTGATACACACGGAGGCATGAATGCAGAAGCGCCAAAGCTGAACAACAACCCTCTCCTATCCCCGACGGGCCCTCTCTGCAACACTGTCTGACTCATTGTCTGCACAACACGACCAACAGCCCCACACTCACAGAGCCAAACACAAACACACACTTTTCCTGTGAGCCCTGCAGGGTGCTGCAGAGGGGTAAAGAACATCAGCTCCAAAGGGAAAATGTGCCTGGGCGTTGCCAAAAGGGTAACCAGACCATCACATTCAATTTCATCTCATTCCACTTAGCAGCTTTTTTCCGTCCCCCACTTCCTCCGATAACCACAGCTACCCCGCTAATCTCGGCAAGATATGAGCGACGTGGACGGTGATGCTTATCAACGCTGGAAAAATCATTATGTGCTATCAAGGGAAAAGATGAAAGTCAGATTCAGTGAAGAATTTCATGAGTTTTCAACAATGGCATTCAGCTGGATTTTTTTTTTTAATCCAATGCCAGCAGTCACACATTCTCCCTAAGTACTAAAAAAACGTTGCCTTCCTAATATTTTGTACATTCCCTGTCCCCTTGTTTTCTCCCAACTTCTGTCTCTCAGTCAGCTGGATTTCCCTCCAAACAACCCCAACCCTCCCTTTCTCCCTGCACCTGGGAGTGTGATTGCCTCAGCAGATGGGACTCAGAGGGGAAGAGAAACTCAAAGTCAAACAACAACCCAAACCGTCCTTCACAGTATTACTTCCTTCTCATATGGCACCGGTACAAGGAATAGAGGGAATATCCACAGAAAACACCACTACAGCCTCAAGCGTAGTGGAGTTTAACCCCCCCAAACATCACTTTACTCCCCGGGAGAATATTCGCTTTTCGTCTCCCACTCCCCTCTTTCCTTCCTGCCGGTCCAATCTGCATACTATCAGACACCTCACATCGTTTTCTCTGGCACGAACAGCCGGACATGTTGAGCATACTTGGATGGTAAAGTCAGTAAACATTGCTCTTCCTTCCTGACTCAACGCATACAGCAAGTGCCCAAACTATAATTATCCATTCTTAGCCTCTCTTCTTCCCCCTCACTCTCACTATCTGTCCTCACCCCCCTCCCACCCCACCCCCACCCCCCCCATCTTCGTCTCTCTGGCCGCTCCACTTCTTTCCGCTCACTCTCCCTTTCATCCCTCCGTCCGTTCAAACAAAGACAGATTAGGTGGAGGGTGGCCAATCGCGAGGTCACCGCGCCAAAAACGACCTCTGACCCGAACTGGCCGTTTGGTGGGAGGACGTGGTAGGAACGTGAAAGGTGAATTGTGCCGTTTCCCATGCTCTCTCTCTGTCCAGAAAGCGCCGGCACTTCAAACGAGGTCGCCCTCAGATTCCCCTCCATATGAGGCCAAACTCTTACTGGCAAAAGTGCTACAGACTCTAGGAAGCCCCCGCCACCCCCCCAAAGCCAAGTACATCCGGATCCCCACTCTCAAATGGCTGTTTATCCTTAGCTGGCCCGGGGTGAGCTGAGGTTATCTAACTCCGGCGCTGAGTCAAGATTTTTTCTCTTCTCCAGAGGGCTAAATCCATCAGTGTCCCTGAGTTGCATTGCTCTGCAGAAATGATTTCTGGTTAAGCTGTAGTGTTGTCCTGTTCACTGCTGTTGTAAATAACTCAGATTTAATTCACTTTTAAGAATGTTTATGTTGTAACATTTATATGTCTCTGAAATTTCCCGGAAAGTGGGTCAATAATACTATTCTCTTTAAGGAACCCTGCAATTCTATTTGTCTGAAAGCAGCTTTTCTCTGTATTTACTGTGGTGGGATTTCTGAAGGTCAATAATGAAATGATCTTTGAAACCAAACATAGCTTAGTCTAAGACACTGTTAGACCTATTCAGTGAAGTAACACCCAGATCTAACTGGACACTCATCATTATGTTTCTCTGTTCATTCCTGACATGTTTTTTTAAAGAAACTGAAGGAAATACTTTTAGCGAAGCACAATGTTGTTTTATTCATTCTATTGACCTTTTCTGTGAGTTAAATGTTTTGAATCTTCGCATTTGATCAAAGATTTAATCATGCTGAAAGCTTAGAACGCGGACCTTGAACCACAAGAAAGGCTGAATGAGCTAAATACTGAATACAGGAGAGAGAATCTTTAAAAGAACTCTGACAGCAAAGCTTCACATGGGTTTCTGGCTTACTTCATGACGTCAGCGCTAACTCCCTCCTCCGCCCACCATTCTACACCCAGTTCCCCATCCCAGATCCCTGCAGAGGTTTTTCCATACGTCCTGCCGCAGCAACACCTACTGCTGACAACACGACTTGCGATGAGCCTTTTACCTCTCTCCTCAAAGAAAAAATAAATATGCAATTTTTCTCGATGGGCTGATGCCCGACCCAGCCTGAGATTTCCAGAAAAATGTAAAAGCCACACACACAAAGCCACATCCCGCTCTCCCTACTCCCTCCCACGTCTGCATGCGCACTGCTCCTCGCTCCGGTCTCAGGCCTAAAGCCAAGTCTTAGCGCTGTGCTCAGAGAGCTGTTGGTGCTGATCCAACTTGCTACTCTTCCTCACATCTACTTCGCCCGCTTTTTTTTAAAAATAATGATCTCGGTTCCGAATTTTCAGAAACGCACATGGCAAGAAAAAATGCTAACGGCTTTTCCTTTGTTTCTAACGGCTTATTACCACCAGAATGCCTGGATCTTTTTCCCTCTCCCCCACTTTTTCCCCTCGTGCTGAGCTCTTCTTTCTCCCCCTTATTTAATGGATTTCAGGCAATTACAGTCGGCCCAAAAAGTGGAGGAGGAGAACTCACGGTGAGTCGAAGTGCGTGTGGAGAATTTTAACAAGATGTGGAAGCCCTCGTCGTTACTTTAGCCCTTGTTTGGGTGTGTTTGTGAAAGCAGGCATGTGTGTGGCTGCATAAACACATTACAACCTCGCCACTGCACCAGCGAACTTGAGTAGAAACTTTCTCCTCCTCACACTCATGTACACACAGACAGTCCAGGTTTTCAGCTGCATCCAGATTGAGCTCTTTTATAATGGATGAGCACAGCTGACTGACTGGCTGGCTCCATCGGGCCTGACTACCTTACGAGACACAAGCTGAGCTGAAGGAATCTCAGGAATCCCTGTATTCCCCAGAGCATCTATGCAGGGAAGCACACACACGTACACACTCACTGAGAGATCTCCCAGCATAGGCCCAGGCAGGAATATGAAACAGTAGAAATGTGGGTGAAGGCCAGATTTGACTCATTTCGGTGTTGCTAACAGTTGTCCCCTATAGGTGGTGAAAGCCCAGAGAACGCTGTTTCCGATAGCTAACTGCACAGCCCGAACTAAGCTGAAACAAACTGCCAAACTAGGTAGATCCTTGATTTGTTTAAGGATCAACCTATTACGAGTGTTCTATGCTATCTCAACAAGAATTCCACACTCATGTTCAGGCGCAGTTTGCGGAACCGGTAATTTTCTACCAGATGAGCGCCGAGCAACAAAAGATTTTGAAGCTTTTTATGAGGGATTAGGAAGTCACAAAATGGTATTTGTTTTATCTCTTTGCTGTGTCCAAAACTTGATTGTAAAGTCATGGTAATGCAGTGTCTGCCCCTCCTTATGGTTTAAAGATCATAAAAAGCATTTCATAGACAAAAAAAAACATTGCATCCAAAGGCCCGCGTCATGTGTCTTTCTTAAGGGTGTAAAATCTACGGGAGCTGATCAGGAAGGGGTTCTCTGATTTAGCCACACACTTTTCTACAACCATACTCACTTAATTGCACTCCATCTGCCCCACTGTCCTCCGACTGCTCTGTATCGTCCTCGTCATCCCCCGACGAGATGGCATCTGCACAGAGTAACCACGGTTACTGCCATCCCCTCACCACCAACAAACACTCAGAAAGTAAAGCAGCCTCAAAATTCCATGCGTCGCGCTCTTGACTAATTCAAAAGCGCAGTGGGGTCTTTTATTCATTTTACTTCTCCCGGAGGACTAATGGTGTTCTTTTGCTGACACACACACTCGTTAGGCTCTCCTCCACGGCCACTTCTGAATCAACCAAGCCCAGCTCAGCCCTTCCTCTCCGCGTTCGGTGCACCATCCTGGCCTGTCCCATTCTGTCCTTCCTGCTCCCTGACTCACCTGTGACATTGACTATGAAGCAGACCGTGTCTTTGCCCACGCTGGTGCAGGCGTACAGGCCCGAATCCTTGGGCGTGGCATCACGGATCTGCAGCACCTCCTGCTCTATCAGAGTGCGATTATTGCTGCCAAGAGAGCTGCCATCTTTGGTCCATGTGATGGTCCCCGTCACCGGCAGAGGGCAACTCAGCTTCAGCACCTCCCCCGGGTGCACTGAGCACACCGTGGGCTTAGAAATTTGGTTTTTGTTCGATGTTTCTGCAGAGCAAATGGAGGGAAGGAGCAGGGGGAGGTTGAAGAAGGGAGAAAGGAGGGAATGGATGAAATGAAAGAGGATGGTGCACAAGGAGAAAGGAGGGGAAAAGAAGTGGTGGGAGAGGAAGAAACAAGCCAGTGTAAGAAATAAAACACCACAAAAACCCAGAATGGATGCATTTAAAAGTAACTTATGCTGGAGGAGCGATACAGAAAAGAAGAGACCAATTTCTCTTTTAAACCATCACACCAACATGTTACCACAAAATCCCAGCTATTTGAAATGGAAACCCTGTTCTGTTATCAAGTCTGCAGTGTGGCTGGGATGTAGTCAGTGCATGCAATTATGGTCATAGCAGCATATGTGGAGAAAAATGAATAAATCAATCAGTTGATAAGCTGTGAGCAAACAAGAGTAGGCACTCCCACCCCTTTCAGTGTAGATGCCAGGCAGCCTGGTGTGTGTGTGAGTGAGAATGAGAAGTGCGGAAAGATCTCTGCGGCTTTAAAAAAATATATAGATATATATTATAATATTAAGGTAATTCAACTCCAGCACGTCTGCCTGTCAGAGAGGAAAGCAGCCAGAAAGGTCTAGGACAGAAGCAGTTGTCAGGCAGGGGATGTGAGAAGGAGTGGGGGATGTGAAGGGGTGTGGGGCAGCACTCTTTTCTTGGAATTTTCCTGGTTTCTACTGCGCACCGAAGCCACAGAAATCTACTGCTTGCCTCTGTCCTGACTTTGCTATCTTCCACCTCTTGCTTCTTTACTGTTTCGTAGGATCGCCATAAAGGGCCGACAAAAGTGCCAAGCTAGACGGCCAGAGACTCAGTACTTGACTCCAAAGTGCATCCAATCTACATTTCTAGGAGGAACACCAAATCTGCCTGTGAGTGCGTGTGTGTACACCATGTCCTCTGACGACTGCACCCGCAGAACGAGGGGATTTTGATACATGGAAAGAAACTGGACTACTTTTGCTTGACTTTATCCATATTCTCACACACAGTCACGCAGCCATGTCCACATTCACTCAGGCCACACACAGATGGGTGTTAACACTTATGGCACAGACAGCGAGTCTTTTCGAGAATAAAAAACTAGAGGAAAGCCTGTTTTTTCTGTTGACTGCAGTGCAACAATGATCACAGCACATGAGCGTCTGTGTTTGGAGGGAAAGGGTAAAAATGAAAGGGTATTAAAAGAATTTGAGAGAGGAAGGTAGCAGCAATGGAAAGCATAGAAAGAAGCCAATGCGGATGGTAAATGTAGAGTGTTTTGGCTGAAGTCTGATAGGTGCAATTATTCAGGCAGCGGAACTCCCAGCCATTTCTTCCACTGCACACTTTTTGAGCAACATCCCACCCTCATTATATGCGATCACTGTGTGTGTATTGAATGTAAAGTATACCTATACACACACACACAAACAAAACTCCAGCCTTTAGAAGAAGGGAAAGTCATTGAGCAGTAGGCCAGCACTCGAGGCATGTGCGCAAACCTCTAAACAACAACCCCCCCCCCGCCTTGGCAAGTGCACAGGTACAGTTCCTGCATTGTCTTTTTTTTCCCCCTCCATTTTTTTTCTTCAAAGCGGAAATGATTAACTCTTCTGTTGCCGCCAAGAACTGAGTGTGTGGTCTGATAAGAGGAGGAGCATCTAGAGTGATGAGAGCTGTCTACCAGGGGCCTTTTGGCTTTGTTACAAGAGCTATTTCTGTGCCCTGATTTGTTTTTTTAGGACATTGCAGAGTTAAAGCTGTAAGGAGACTCATGCACTGTAGATCCCTGAGGGGGCGGGGGGGGGATTGGAAAAAGCAGGTGTGGACAACTCTCGGCCCTGCAACGGTGCTGGAAAAGCCCCAGAACACCTGGACCGTGTATACACAAACACACACGCTACAGATTGCTGGTTTACACTCTGAAGGGAAGGGAAGGATACTGACATCCGCGTGTGTAAGCAAGTACGGAGAGATTTTTTAAAAATGATGACAGAAGTACTAAATGGTATGGAAGAGAAATGAATGTCACCAAATGGTAAATCCAATTAAAGGAAGCATGCAGGCGTGAGCTCTTTCATCACCATCTTATCTCTGCTGTGTCCATCTGTCCCTCTCCATTAACTCCTCCTGCTTCTTCATTCCCTCCTTCCGCTTTGCCCTCGTCTTCCGGCTTCCCACACTTCCCTCAACCCCTCCCTCTCATCCGTGACCCCATAGACCTTACCATGACCCTTTGCTAACCTGTTGACACCTCTCCAGCATACCTGATTCTTCATGGGAACCTGTGAGCAGATGCACACACTCAGACGTTGTGTTAGCAGAACAAAAGACTCTCAAGACCCAAGACATGTGACACACACATGCACACACACACGCAAATCGCTGTCCATATGAAGGGAAAGAAGTTCCTGGATGCATGCTGAGATTAAGAGTTTAAATATGGAACTCCGGGCTTTTAATCTCTGCAAGGTTTCACAGACTTTTTCCTCAGTTCCTCTCAAACAGCTCTCTTCTCTCCTCTTCCCTCCCTCCTTCATTGCCATCATTTTGCCTCCCCTCTCCAGAATCACATCTCCATTTTGAAAAACAAACTTCTCTCTCTCTTTCTCCAATGACCATAAAAAGCCTCTATCGGGTGCGTTGGATTCAGACTCCGCAGCGTCCCTTCCTCCTAAATCAAACCATCTCAGCCGACAAAAAGCAGCCTTGCTGCGTGAAAAAGCAGTTCTCGCTGGACTACCCTCTCTGATGTCAGCTTTCCCATCTCCTTTTCTATCTATCTGTCAGTTCAGGCAGAGGCAAAGATGGAGTTCACAACAGCATTGATTTTTTCTCTCAACTCAATTTAAGGAAACTCTGCTTTAATCTCTCTATCGGCTTTTTCACAGAAAAAGGGGTTCTATTTTCCTTACTTTTAATACACTGGATACCCCTTAGCTCAAACTATCCTCTAATGTGAAAGCTGTAGAGACACTCTGAAGTACGACTTGGCCACGTGAACCTAATCTGCAGTAAATGTCACTGGAGACCCTGACATAAATGTTTTTATTTATGCTATTTTTATACATTCTACTAATTTAACTTGCATGAATACATATATCCTGACATGTATAATAGGTAACACTATTTTGTTCAGTCCTATCACAAAACCATGTAAAATTCTGTTTGTTTTTTTGTTTGTTTGTTGGTTTTGTTTTTTGCCAACCAGTGAATTTGTGTTTACACCTTTCAACCTTTTGTCTGGTAGGTTTCCTCAGCATTTCTCTTTTTTTTCCATCAACCAAACACTGCCCTGCCTGCATCCAACCATGCGCCGGTGCGGCCACTGAGACCTGAGGCTCAAACAGGCACAGGCACCAGCTCTTCCCAGCCTCTTATCGGAGAAGTGTGAGATGGAGCGGTGGAGTGACCGTCCGAGGCAAACAACACACTTAAGCCCTCTGCGTTAACACCGGCCAACAGCAAGCTAATAAAAGTCATTGTTTGAAGGCTGTATATTCAGTCCAGCTTCCCCCCAGGAGGGACCTGTTGGTCACAACTGTGTTTGGGTAGAGATCAGTTTCACTGCCAATGCCAACGCAATCAGACACACACACACGCACACACACATACAGTGTCATTAATCAGCCAGCTGACACTTTTATACTTTTACAACAGTACTACTATTATGTACACAGGACAGTGTATCAGTTAGTTAAGCCTTCACATTCACACCTCCCTCACAAAAAAACAAAACAACTCACTATCTTCTACTAAATGTTAATTTTGCCTCAAATATCTGCTTACAACCAATTAACAATATGTTTAAAAGAGCATAGCCTATAATTGTAAGCAAAAACCTGTCATCATATCCCTACAGAAATGTGCCATTAAACTTAATTAATGAATCTCCTTTTGTTCAGAAACTCCTCTAATGGATTCATTATTATTGATTGTCTGCATCTTATTCCTGTCTCTCTCAAACATGGAGAATCAAAGCGTTATGGAGTCTCTATCTAACAACTGTGGCATTTTGAGTATCTGCTCCCATGCGAATCAGAACATTTTTCAAGACCAGAGTTTGGCAGGGAGCTCGAGAAATCACAGCCAAGCCTGGAGCAGACCTTTGTCAGCTGTACTCGTTCCAGTATGCCTGGTGCCACATTCACTCCACATTATATGCAAAAGGGGGCCTGAGCGCACCACAGAGCAGAAAATGCCTTTGTCAGAGACACACATGCGTGCACACACCTCCTGCCTTCAGCACCATTGTAGTTCAGCTCCGTCAGTGTATTTTAATCACCGCGCAAACAGTGAGCGCTTGGACAAGGTAAACACTCCCATAGATACTGAAGTGACTACGGCAACAACAATGGGCCTGTTGTGGAGCCCTCGACCGGTGCGTTCACTCCACTTCTTCTGTTATGGCTGCCGCAGGTAAACAAACTACGAGGGCCACCGGGGGTGCAGGCGTGGGCTCCAAAGAGACACCGCTGATATGCAATCTGATGCATCTACAGCTATTTCTGCTCACACAGACAGTAGCATGACCGCGGCTACCGGGCAGCCCGGGGTGGGGCCGGTGGGAATTCTAAACATGTCTGTGGGGGCTGTTATTAGGACACAGAGGGCAGGACCTGCCTACGTGTCTCCCTAACATCTGCGTCCCACAGGTGACACACAGGAAAAGTGTGACAAACACAAATGGGGGCGACTGCGGCATCTAAGTTTCATTTGGAATCGGATGAGGGTACATTTTTGTGCCCCCTTTCTATCCCTTATCATGTGACCCTCTTGGCCTATCCACTTAATCCCCAGTCACATGTTTTTAATGCTGACCACTTCCCCGTAATCTCTCCACTTAAGAGGAGAAGTCAAACGTGCACAAAGAACTTTCCTCCTCGGATTGTGCAACTCTGGAACACTCTCTCATTTCTGAGGCCGCGCAGCATGGCGCTCGCACCTTGTGGGGCTCTGACTCAACCAGCATGGAGCCAAACAGTCTGGGACGGAACAACAAAAACAACCGGAGAGGAGAGCTCAGGCGGCTTCTCATCAAGATAGACAGGAACGATACCTGACCTCCAGGGCAAAGGGCAAGAGAAGGTCCACAGTGTGTGTGTGTGTGTGTGTGTGTTACAGAGATGGGGGATGTGGCTTAAGGATGATGCCCTGTTGTTGGTCTAACTTAGAATTAGCATGCTGATTAGAGCACAGGAACAAAAGGCTGTGGAATGCGAGTTACCATCCATCAAAACAACTAATTAGCTCCTCTCTTACCGCTTCTTACCAAGAATATAACTAAAAACAATTTAAACAAATTCAAAGAGGTGAAAAAACAGATATGCTACTTTATAAAGTCCTCAAAAACAAACTTTACCCCAAAAACTTAACACATGCAGTGATGAGAAGAGTCCCAAAGCTGACTTTCTCTTTCCCTCCCCTGACTGATCCTCAGCAGAAGAGACGTGCCAGCATAAACACTGTCCCACCCTCGTTCACAGCTTTTGCTGTTGTTCTCCCACACAGGGTCACAAACCTGGCTTTGATACTGCGGGCAAAGCCTGGACCAGTTCAGGCATCAGCAAAGGAAAACAAGAGTGTGAACCACACACCTTCTAGTAGCAAACAACAGATCACTAAGCTGAGGTTAATCATTTCCCCGCTATTTATTCATTCTATTCCCCTTCAATATTTGGGTGTGAATTTCATTTCTCTTCTCTTTCCAGTTATCTATAAAGTCTAACAATGAGATGGGTCCGGTTTAAAGTAAAGAAAGGTATGAGGAAAATGAATTTTGTCAATAAGAGAAAGGATTGAAAGTTAAACTTCAGGGAAATTAAACTGTTGGCCAATTGGGATGATTTTTTTAACACCTGTCCTTTCCATGTGGGCGAAGTAAAGAAAAGAACTTCACCAAACTACAGAGATCTACACCTGCTCTGCAAAAAAAAACAACAACAGCGGTTTGCCGGTTCTACGCCCTGTGCTCCATCACCCAGCTGCTTCCCCCCCCCCACAGTTCCTCACCTTCGGGTTCCAGAGTGGCCTCCTCCTCCTTGGTGGCGGTGAGGGGTGGCCGGGCCACGCTGGCGGTCAGAAGGGACAGCAGGAGGGCGCCCAGCAGCCAGGCCCGCGAGGCCATCCCGTTAGAGGCCAACAGCGGTCCCCATGCCCCCCTTCTCCACCTCCCCCTGGACACTGATTCCATCTGAGGGGGTCCGCCAAACCATCAACTGCTGCCTGGTCGACCTGTCACTCACTGGAATTCACCCGATCACCTGGTCTGTGGGGCGAAGGGGAAAGATGTGAAAGTAGAAGTGTGAGCAGAATGAAGATGGGGGGGGGGCACAGAATACCTGTCATCTGAAATAAACAGTCCTGATCCACTGTGAATAACTTTTCACACCACCTCTCTCTTCGTGTAGTTCTGAGAAAGCCACTCAGAACAAATGGAGCGATAAAAAGCCATCAACAGCAGAGCGTTTTCAAAATGCTGTCAAACAAGCCCTGCCACAGACATACCGAAGCTGTGAGGCACGCGCATGCACGCGTCGCCTATGATCATATGCATTGAAATATATTGTAAAGAAACCAATCGAGAGACATTTTGGTGCTGCAGTCCAACCGGTTTGGTGTCTCTCCAAATTACGCAGCTGCCTCGGTTCAGCCGTCACAAGTTTATTTCATTTCACACAAATTCAGAGTGGAAAAGATGCTCCAGCGCAATCACCATGTTCTGTTTTTACACGCTGCCTTGTCGTCTCTTCTTAATTAAACACGAAATCACGCTTAAACTAAAGAGCCGCCGACAACCTGATTATTTCTTTTCTTCCGCAGCGCAACAGATGCGCCGGACCTTGTTGGCCGGGCCGCAGCAGTCGTGCTGGTTCCATTCGTTTGGGGCTTTCATTCAATTTCCGTGACTTGATTAGTCTACGAGAGCCGTTCGGCTCTAAAACTGAAACGCAATATTTCCAGATTAGAACCCACACATCAGCGTGCTCAGCCAGACATCTGCGATTCAGCCGCAGCTCAGGCTCTCTGGAGGTTTGTTGAAGTCACGCGTCTTTCTGCTCCAGCTGGACGTATCGATTGGTTTCCCCCGCAAAGACATATGTAATTTGTCTTTTAGAGAGCGTGGATTGCAAACACGCACGTGCTGATCTATCTTTAATTCACCCCTCGGAGCTTCAGGGGATATCAAATGAGTACCTGATGCCAGAGCTGCATCCTCCAATCTATCCCCGGACCTCTAAACGGAATAGGAAAAATTGATTTTTTTTTTTCTTTTTTTTTTTAAAAAGAGGCAACGAAGACTTTTATATTTTATGATTTGTTAACAAACCTGAGCACTAATCAAGCACGGAGCTTACCCATGTCTGAAAACTTGTGCAGGACCAAAAAATGACCCAAATTGCTCCAAAACATAATTTCTTTTGCGCATTAATGCCTACATCACAATGAAGAGTACGATTGAGATTCTGCAGCTATAAAACGAATTGCAAAAGTACACAAACGATTAAAAAACGACTGAAAACGGATTCTTCGCGCAGAACTTTGTTACTTTGCACCATGCATGAGCACAGCCTGCATTTAAACCCGGACTTTGAATTAAATTTCTTGGCAGTGGCTTAATTCCCATTGAAATTCAAATCAGTTGGCTTTTCCACAATGGAAGCTCATTTGGAGCTGCTCGGTGATTTAGGGCTCCGGCACCAAGCAGTGAAAAAACAACTGCGGTCACGGGGTAATTGGCACCATAAATGCGATGTAGAAAATTAAGCAACGTAATAAATAACCAGGACACTTGTTAATGGGCCCTAAAGTGATGATGCAAAGTGTTGTGGGGTTATTCGTCGTCAAAATAAAAAAAGGGGATTATTAATAAGATGTTATCTACAACTCGTGTAACGAAAGATGGACAGAAGTGTGACATTTTACGCACGAAGATATTTGCTGGGTGGCTGAAAAAAAACTCACGGGGAACTTTACGTCCCCTGATTTCTCAGAAGTATCTTAAGTTAGTTAAAAACAAATGTTTAAATGAAAGAGCAGGCAGATTTTTCCCCCCAGAAAACCGTCATAAAAAACAGAATGGGTACAGAAAAAACTGTCATAAGATGCTGGAGAAAGTTCCCAAGCAGCATTTTTGTTTCATCGTAAACATACTATGCTTACCAGGGAGGATTAAAATCGTGGAAATCTCTGTTTTGGCATGTACAGATAAGGGAGGAGAAAGCATGAGCCGAATCCGGAGGGTGGAATGTCTCCAACACTACAATGCAGCAAAAGCAAAAAATCTGAGGCGCTGCATTTTTTCAGCTTACTATTCCACAATCAGCCGGCATCGACTCTGGTCAGTGGCTATATTCCAAACCAGAATGGCAGTGTAGTCCAGTGCCATGCAGAAAAAATCCGAGTTTACTCTCTTTATCCTTCGAAAAAGCCTCGGAAAACCATATCGCTGGCCCCCTTCAAACTTTCCTCCCCGTCACCAAGTTTCTTCCAGGGCGCAGAACATGCCCCGCGTTCCTGAGCAGCGCACTTGTCAACTTTATAAAAAGTTTGCAGCCACTACAGAGTTGGAAGGAGGCTGAAACTGTCCAAGCAAATAGTTGTCCCAAGCATAAATGTCATAAAATCCATCAACGTGCGTTCCCTCCGAAGGGCGTCTTTCACGTCTCCTTCCTCTCTTCCGTAGACACTCTTCGTTCGCACTGTTTCTCAGACGCTTTGTCAGGTTTACTAGGTTTTTTCTCCTCTCCACACACCGCCCTCCTCCTTCCTTCTAGTGGGTGTCATCCCCCCCCCCCCCTACTCTTCTCCACCCACAAGCACCCCGACTGTAATTTGAGCCGCTTCCTGACCGCAGTGCCTTTGGGCCCTGCCCTCCTCCGCCCATCAAAATGCGGAGCAGCCTGCTGCTTGCCTTGCGCTCTCGTTGCTCACGCTGTGCGCGCGCTTTGGCTCTCACACCTCAGAAACAACGCCGCTCAGTGGACAAAGCGCGGCACCTGTGGCGCATTTTCGCTGCAGTGCTGACGCGCAAAAGCCTCAACACCCCATAACAACCCTAACCCTTTTCACGTTGCAAGAGTGAAATTATGCAGGTAGCAACTAGTGGAAATCACAAGAAGCAAAAATATTTTTCTTATCAAGAAAATCTTAAGAAAAAAAAAGAGAAAGCTGAGAACCATTTTGGTTTGTTGAGTTTTTGGAGGTAAGAGCCATCAGACATAACCCCTTAATTCATCTTGTTTACCAGCCTTTGGTAAGTAAAAACACTCACCCCATTCTGAGCAAAAACAAGAAGAAATAACTCATTGTGGATTTTAGAATAATAGTTTTAGGATCGCGTGACTGAAAAAACGTAAATTCATGTCCATGTGTCAGCTTGTGGCTGCTTGAAGCATGACTGTTCTGTTGCTCTGCTCTGATACAATAAAAACTGCAAAGCCACAGCTTCATCTATCCAAATTACGATAAAAATGTCCTTGCAATGATATTCATGCATATTTTTATTTAATTAATTTTCTCTGTCCTTGCTGCTGAAACATAGTAAATATTCGCACTGTGGGACTAATAAGGGTCAATCTTTCTTATCTTATTGATCTCTCACAGAGCAAACTGGGAGCAGCAGAAGTGGAGCTCTTGCAGCTTACTGTCAAAAAAAGAATATTGCACTATCTGTGCAATATGGTGAAATGTGAACACAAGTTCTCCCCCAAAAATGCTGATAAAACAACAGAGTATCATCCTCATTCAGATAAGGACCAGAAAATGACGTAATTATCTTTTTCACTTAGAAAGTAATCATATAATCAGACATTTGAATTGTTAACTCGAAGGTCTTTTGCATCTTGAAAATGGGTTTCCACATTTTCCATCACTAAAATTAAAGTTTATTATAAAACTTTAAAGAAAGCATATGCTGCATATGATTTTGTGATGTATTAGCATATAAAACATCTATGTCTATATATAAAAAAAGCAACAGTGATTTCTTCCTTAATGTGATTGCCTACAATGTGTGAACAATCATAACACTTTATCAAACATATCCTGTGAAATCAACAACTCGAGTTTCTTTGCATTTCTTTTCATTTGTATGTTCAAAAGTGGACTAAAGAAGATACATTCTGAACCATCAGGAGCATTTTTAGGATGTCTCGGTTGTGTTTCTGTAATCCCATAAAAGCCACATCAAGGCAAAAATAAATGGGAGAAAAATCCAACAACAAACACATTTTTATGATATGGTGTAAATTATATCAGAGTTTTAGAATAAGCTGACTTCATAACTGTCCAATAAATGCACAAGTCTGTCTTCTTGAGGAGAGACAGTTTGGTCGGCTCCCCATTGCTGGTCCCAAAATCCCTCTGGTTGTCTACTGCATTGGTTCAGGCGTTCCAAAAGAAACACGAGGAAAGGTGGAAGACTCCAGAATCCACTGACGTTTTTATTTTTTATCATCTTTTCACTGCTAAGGCCTTCTCCCTTTTTTTTAAACAGGGGATGTAAAACATTTCTGTTCAAGATGAAATGAGGCACTAAAATCCACGAATAGATAGTTTTTCGTGCGTTCTTTTGTCCTCTCCCACCTCTGCTCCCACCAGTGAAGCCATCAGATAAGAGAGGGGCTAACAGTTCTGCCAGTAACAGGGAGGGAACCAGAGGTAAGGAGGCAAAGTTTGACTCATTTTTTATTAATGGCACAAACTACCCCCTAGTGTTTCTCCTGCTCTGTGAGTCTCTTTCCTTCCTCAATAGAGGTCTATTTACAATCACCTAATTTATTCCCATCCAGCATTTGAAAAAAGGCTCATCAAGCACAGTCATACGAGCCTGAAGACTGAAGACTGGACACTCAGTGCCCTTGCTCTGTGATATGTGTCACCTTAACACTGTCATAGGATATTCGTTTTTTTATGTCTTTCATCCTTAATCTTTTCAACGCTAGCAGCCGCCATGTTTGGATTGAGGAGGCAGAATACCAGAAACAGTAAGAGACTAAGTAGACGCTCACAGTCAACATGTTAGATGAACGTATTGATTTCTTGTCAGTGCTGACAGAACCCCTGAAGACGGTTGGAAATTGGAACGCGTGTCTAAAGTGCCCGTGGGAGGATAGCTTTCATGGCTGTGACTGTGAGTGGTGTTTGAGGGCGAGCCTCTCACCAGCCCTCGGACAGACCAGCTGCTGACGTGCAAATCCAAAAGGCTGTTAAGGTTAACCACTCAACAGCACGCCTTTAGTAGTCAAAAGGTTCGGATTAGAGTCCTCCTGTACTCATAAGTGAGTTTCAAAGCGTGCATTCTGTTTGACACCTTCTCTGTGATTACAATTGAGTGTGTGTAGCAATGTGTGTGTGAAGCAATATTCAGTATATAGTTTGTTTTGGTGTGAAATGCCTTTAGAATAGAGATTAATTGAGACAAATAAAGATTAAAGGAATGATGCAGCAAAACACCTGAGATGACAAGACATTATGCATGCAGTTCTCCAGAGGAAAACAAATATGGTTTTCAGCATATGTGAGCACAGAAGTGTAAAAGATTACTTAAAGCTAGTTTCTATATCACAGTCTACAGCTGCATCTCTGTGCTAGAATGCATAGGATATTATTCCAAGCCACTCTATGTTAGTGCCATTTTCACAAGAATTAATCATCATTATTCCCAAAGAATGGCCCCGGATGAAAGTTCATGACTCTCGAATGTTTCATTTTCACAAGACTTGTTACTTAGTTTTGTGCAAATTAGCATTTGATTTAACTCTAACATGCCAAACTAAGATTTTGGACACAGAACACATTTTACGTCTCCAAAAAATCTGCACAATTTAGCATTGTCACATGGCAATGTAGCTGCAGCAGAAGTGCCTTTGTTTTAGGGCTTATTCCATAACATATCCTCAGAAATCCTAACAGTACTATACTGGTGATAACATAGGCATTACTTGTGGCATCTGGCCTGTGTTGGAGTCAATCAGCCATTATACGGTGCCTTTTGATTGCAGTGACACAAAGACCGTGCACTCTGTGACAGTGGACGGGGCCAGAAGCTCAGTCTCCTCCCCCGTTCCAAGTGAGGGCCGCAGCACGGACACCAAACAGTGATATTCTCTGTTGAGAATCAGTCAGCACAAAACATACTTGTTCTCCTGTAGGGGATCCTTCTTTTTTTTGTTCCTCCTCAAGGGGTGCTGCTGCTAATCGTGAATGGCACAGATATGTTCTTGCAACTTTGCCAAATCAAGGAGAGGTCCTTTCTTTTTGTCCCACGGCATCACTAGCGCTGCCTAATTAAACCATCAAACGTACGTGTGAGTCACATCCTGCACTGTAAATTTAACATACACCTGGTACTTTGAGTGATCGAGGACAGGGGGGATTGGAAGGATCGTAATAAGAAAATGCTGAGAAGAGTCTGTTCAATTTGATCCATGCATGCAGTGTAAGAAGATCCTGACAGAAAGTGAGAAAGGAAAGTTTTGATGTTTGGTTTGATTGAAAATAAGTACAAAAAATGTCAAGATACTCTTAAAGAAACCTTTTTTTCTCTCTTTGTGGGTACTCTGAACATTTTCTCCATGTTGGAGGGGTGCTATTACGGCCAAACTCTGTCTGATGTGAGCTGCCTCGCACCATTAAAGTCCATTTGCTTTTACTTCAGGCGGCAGCACCTTACAAGTCAGCATGCCCTCCTCCCCATGGTCACTGATACACTCTAATAACCTCGTCTGTACACCCAGACCTCCACTGTCCTCTCCTCCTCCTCAGCAGGTAACAGAGAGCAGGGATAGAGGGAGTGGATGGAGGGGGAGTGGAGGGTCAATCATCCAGATTCCTCTCGTGTTTCCACCTCAGTGTTCCAGAGTGTTTGAAATAGCTAGGATGCCTTCACCAGAGCTCAGCTGAAAGGGAAGCATGAGGGGAGGCGGGGAGACAGTATTTCCAGCTCGGAGTTGAAGGTTCGGTGTTTTACACTCCCTCAAGCTGCTATAAGAAATGGCAGACAGCAGCAGATGAGGCAGAAACATGGTGGGTTCACCCCGCTCCACATCGGTTTTCCCTCCCACCCAACTGTCCTCTTTCCCTCCCACCTGACTGGCACCGTTACTCCTAATAAAACAACACAGCTCTTTTTTCCACAGAGAAACAGAGAGAAATGCTGAGTGGAACTGACAAATTTATACCGCTATATAAAGCAGAGAATGAGATTTTTTTTTTCTGGCTTCTTAAAAGCGGTGAGAGTTTCTGTTCGACTTCACTCGATAGCCACGCTGCACAAAAACAGCACACAGACATAATTAGGTTTCATGCACACTGAAAAGCAACTTTTCCTTAAAAAAAAAATAGGTTACTTTTTTCATTCCCGGTATGAGTCATGCTTTTTAAGGGGGGGCTTTAGTCGGTGTGGACTATTGAGGTGTACTTGTTTTTCCCTTTGAACTGACAGTGCTTTGAGAGTTCACTGGAACTGCCGTTCATCCCAACAGTCAATGCTGAACCTCTTCCTCGGAGTGCGTTGCACAACCGCACTTCCACAGAAGAGTGAAGGGAGAGGTTTTCAGCGGACCAGCACTGACCTCCAGTATGTGGCCTACTTTGCTTTGGTCATTCATATCAATACAGATACAGCATAAGCTGTTATTTCAAAGTGAATCCTTATCACTACTCCTTTAATTAACACCTGTGTTTTTTTTCTTTTGAATATATCTTAAGAATTTTATGTACCTGATTCCAAACTGAACTCCCCAGAAAGTGGGGACATTTCCAGAA